AAAAAAAAAAAAAAGGAATTGAGTAAGTCATATATATAGATAACAGAAACCCAAGAGCCCAACATTACCAACAACTTCAACTTGCTTCTTCTTGTTGACTGAACCCGGTGGTCTGCCCCTCTTCTTGACGACCGGCGAGGTCGGCCCGCCCACCGGAGGCGGCACAGGCATTGCCGCCACTTGTGGAGGAGAGAAAGCCTGCATCTGATTCTGGTGCAGGCCGGAGTTCATCGGCTGCTGGCCTGAGGCCATAGCCATGCCTGACATGTTGCCATCCGGCCCGTACTTCCTGGGCCGGCCCCTTTTGCGTTTCTGGTCGCCTGAGTTCAGATTCATGGCAACAGGTGGGCCGCCGGGCATCGGTTGGTAAGATGGTGGGGAGCCCACGGATCTGTAAGCGCCGTCTGTGGTGTAGGACACGCGCATTTGCTGATCCAGCTGATGCTGTGAAGCGGCCGGGTTCTGGGACTGCCCGGCTGAGGCCATGGCGTTTATTGGAAAAGGCTCGCGGCTTGACATGACGGCGGCTGTTTCAGATACACCCGACATTTATGCCGGGCTTACGGAGTTACCTGATGAGTCAGGTGAAAGAAAACGGGAATTTTAGCAGATCTCAGTAGAGCTTGAGAAGCTTCGGCTAAAATTAAACCCATAAAGAACGAATTTCGCCATTTTTTGAGTAGTTCAACTGGAAGCAAGCAGGCCCAAAACGCTATGAAAGAACTCGAAATTCAAGAAAGGGAAAAACTTGGTAAAGAACAATTAATATCGGTAAATGCGAAAGCGAAAAGTGGAAGAGAGATGTAAAAAAAAAACAAAGAAAAAGAAAGTAATGTTTTTTTCTTCTGTAAAATCTTGAAAAATCAGCAGAGCTTGCAGAATTTTCTCAGAATTTTCTCAAAAAACAAGAAAAGAAGCTCGAAATTAAACGCCGAAAAAGGAAAAAAAAAAAAAAAAAAAAAANAAAAAGGAAAAAAAAAAAAAAAAGAGACGATTTTTAAAAATTCATAAGATTTAAATAATGCCCTGAAATTCACACAATAAAACGAGTAAATCAGAAAAAAAATGGACAAAAATCAGAAAAAAACTTACCGATAAAAGGGAAATTTTTCTGCGGCAAGCTCGAATTAAGATGATGCAATCGATGAGGGATAGAAATTTCTAGGGATTTTGAAAGAAAAAAAAAAAAGGGTTTTTGCGAAGAAAAAAAGCTTTTCGTAAAATAGCAGAACAGTTAAATTCTTTTATATTTACGAAGCGGCCGTTTTCGTTAAATTCTTTCCGTATTTTACCATTTTCGCAATTAATAAAGCGTGAAAATTAGGTTAAATGAAATAATGCAAATTTCATCATCACTTTTATCTCATATTTTCTTTTTTGTCCCCCAACTTTTTATATATAACATAACATGACATGAGAAAGAAAAATGGAGATTGTGGGCTTCATTTTTATTTTTTATTTTTTTTGGAAAATTCAATTTATTAAGGGACAATTTGATTGAGTAGATTTGGAGAGTTGGTGTGCATTAATGATGATTGATAGTTTGTTTATTTGTTTTCTTTTGAAATGGTATTAGCATTATTTGAAGTTTATAACATTATAATCTTCATTATATTTGATATTAACTTAATTATTTACTTGACTTAAAAAATTCATGTTATAAGCATTTTTTTATCACTAGAGTAATTGATATACCGTGTTAGTTTTCCATTTAACATTACATATTTAATGTTTTGTATAATTGTTTATACTTTATACTTATTTTACGTTTTTTTTTTATTTACAATTTTTTCAAATCAGAGTGAGACAAAATGTACTAAATGTTATTTGTTATATCACAAATTCTCGAACCACTTGATCGCTCCTCTTAAGTCAGTTTGTGTCACCTTGATCGTCGGTACCTGCAAAACACATCGGCGGTGGTCTCGGCGTGGACACTCCGACACTCAAGTGAGTGATGTTCTGAAGAAATAATGGCAGAGTATCGAGATAGTGCGTATGTGTGTGTTGTGTAAAATGAATGAACATGTGTCCTTTTATAGGTGAAGTCATGTGTAGGCCGAAGAGTTCTTGTCGGACCATAAGTCTTCCTCGTGTCTACCTCTAAATCAGGTCAGATATTTCAGATCTTCAGAGTCCTCATCCCAACAAACTTCCTTGTGACTGGTCACAAAGCCACCTCCAAGCTCTGGTCGAGCTGCCTAGGTGCTGAGGTGCTTATGCGTCGAGCTACCTAGGTGCCTAAGCGCTGAGCCACTTAGGTCATCACCTCCGCCTAGCTAACCAACCTCTGTCACTCCGCCTAATTCCCATCCGTCTAGCTTACCAACCTCTGGCACTCCGCCTAGCTCATGCCGAGCTAGCCTCCGCCTAACTCCCATCCGCCTAGCTTACATACCTCTGGCACTCCGCCTAGCTCATGCTGAGCTAGCCTCCGCCTAGCTCCCGTTTACTACAGAGGTACCATGAGCGCGCCCAGCTCGTTGAACTACGCCTAGCTGAATGTAACTAAAATTCAGATCACAATCGGTCATTCATGAACCGCTACTTACGACCATATCATTACTATATGTATTTTTTTTTTTACAATAATTGACATAAATGACTTGCTATATCATATTATTTTATGACAATAATTTACATAATGTATTGAGATAATGCATGTATAATATATAAAAAGAATAAATCTCATTTAAAATACCAAAAAGAAAAGCAAAAAATTAATATAGATGATAAATATTCAATCAACTAAGAAAAATGAAAAGGAAAGAATTGAAAACTACATATCTTTAATCGAATGGTGAAATATATGGGCATCTTAATATTTAATTTTTAATGCAATTAAAATTTAAAGGAAAAAAATATTGAAAAAATAGTAGGAAAGACGGGTGCTACAAATGGATTATATTATTATTATTACTATTATGAGTCACGTGCAGTGCACGGGTAAGTATTTATTAATATTTATAAATTAAAAGTATGGAATCAATATTGATATAGCACCTAGAAATAAAAGGGTAAATGGGTGGCTCGGCCTTTTTGGGCTCGGTCTCTTTTGGCTCGGCCCAAAGGGCATAATAGCGGCCCAATTATAGATCTTTCGGTGGCTCGGATGTAAATTGGCTAGCATGGCACTTTCGCATTGGTGAAGCTTAAAGGGTGGGCATGAGAGCTGCTTGACGGAAGGGTTATTAGGAGCAGCGTATGAGTGACACGTGTAGCGCTAATATAAGAAGGGGCTGGATCATCTAACGGGCGAGGACCAAGGCGTGGCACAAACGCAATGTCGGTACTTATAAATAAGTAAAGTTGGGGTGCTCGAGAGTTAATCATCGAATCACGTTACAAACCCTAAAATCTACACTGTGCCCTTCTAGATAATATACTAACTTGAGCTTCGGAGGTTTACCGCCGGGAACGCCTCCCGGCGTCTTTGCAGGTGTTCGGGTGCTCAAGCGGTTGAGGATCAAGGAGGGCCGGTTCGAGGTGCAATAGCACATCAATTGGCGCCGTCTGTGGGAACGTAACATTTTTCTTTTTTCGATTGTAGACACAAGGATGACAAACACGGTCGCGGAGGAGCAATCCAGGAGAAATTTGGGCGAGAGTTTGGAGGAGGCATGGATTGCAAAGACACCTTATGGTGGAGGGCCGTCGGTAGGATGGGTCGGTGGAGAGGGCTCATTGACCACTCTTCCTATTACGTTACAAGGGGTGCCCCCAACCCCGCCATCAGAACAAGAGCAAGGATTGGTGACCCAGGAAACGAATCAGGAGGCAGCGATGCGAGCGCAAGGGTCAAACGTGTTGCCGGGGGGAGGAGAGCCGGTGATGCAGGTGACTAGAGGAGAGTTGGATCGCATCGTTGCGGAGGCGGTAGGCCGGGCATTGGCAGCACAGGACGCGGCGATGGTAGAGCGGCCTGTCGCGATGACAGAAAGGCCAGTCGCGGTAGCGGAGAGGTCCGCAGTGCGTATGGAGAGGCCTGTCGTAAGGGGGAGCGGTCGGCTGCCGAGGTTGAGCAACAAATCCCTGTGCTGTCTAGGCCTTTAAGAGGAGGCAGCCATCGCAGAGATGACCAGGAAGAGAGGTCTGTGATCTCGCCAATGGTTCCCAGGTTGTCTAGGGATGTGATGATGAAGCAAATGGCGAACCAGATAAAGGAGCTCCAAGCTAGAGTGGAGGGGAGGCGGCAGCCTAGGATGCAGGGTCACCCCTTTACCGATGACGTTTTGGGTGCCGACTTACCCCATAATTTCCGGGAGCCGAGTATATATTATGATGGATCCTCAGATCCAGCTAGGCATTTGAGGAGTTTTGAGAATGTGGCGGTTTTACATCGGTATAGTGACGGCGTTTGTTGTCGAGCCTTTTTCATAACCTTGAAAGGTTCGGCTCAAGATTGGTTCCACCAGTTACCCGCGGGATCAGTTTATAGTTTCGATGCGTTTAGTTCATTGTTTATCAATCAATTCTCGAGCGCAAGAAAACACGAGAAGCCGTATATGTCCCTAATGAACATGCAGCAACGTGAGAATGAGTCTCTCAGGGAATACGTGGCTAGGTTCACTCGTGCATGTGTGGAGGTTCCTACCGCGACGGAGAAAATAAAAGCAGACGGATTGACAAGGAGGCTGAAGGCAGGACACTGCAGGAATTCGCTGGCTAAGAAGCCCGCCCGATCCTATGATGAGCTTTTGGAAAGGTGCACCAAGTATATGAATATGGAGAAGACGGAGGCAGATTTTCAGGCGCATGATCGAGCTCGTGGGAAGAAGCAAGAGGAAAAACACAGGTCATATGATAAAAAATCAGGAGGGAAGGATTATAGGAGCAACGATAGTGGGCGCCTGGGGTTCAAATACGAGCATTACACGCCACTGACGTCACCAAGGGGCAGGTGTATGAAATGCTGGAGAAGCGAGGGGAGACCAAGATGTTTGGGAGGCCTCAGCCTTTACCAAAAAAGTCCGGGAAGGTACCAGTGAAAGGAGACCTTTACTGTAGGTATCATCGTGACTATGGGCATTGGACCAATAACTGTAAGGAGCTCAAGGACGAGATTGAGAGGCTAATAAGAGCTGGACACTTGAAGGAGTTCGTGGTCCAGGATAGAGAGAAAAGAGATGATACGGAGGGGGTTAATCGGAAGAGACGGCATGAAGAGCAAGGAGAAAGGGCTCCAAAGAGGGGTGTGATACATATGATAGCCGAGGGGCCAACAGATGGTGATTCTAATGGGGCTAGACGTACTAACTTAAGGGCAGATCGGGAGGATGTGGCGGAGGTCCAGATCGCTCACACCGCGCCAGAGTTAACTTTCGGAGCAAGGGATTCTCATGGTGTGTTAGTGCCTCACAATGATGCGTTGGTGGTAACAGCGGAGATCGCGAACTATGACGTAGAGAGGATACTCATCGATACCGGGAGTTCAGCGAATATCACGTTCTACGAATGCTTTAGGAAGATGGACCTGGGGATGGAGATTACACCAATTAAGACCCCTTTATTCGGGTTCAGTGGCGCTGAGGTAGTGCCATTGGAAAAGG